GCTCAGAAAAAGATAAATTTAAGAGGAAATACATTATGAGTTAATGCTGAAAATTCCTATTTGAATTTAGGATTATAGAGTGTTTACTTTGATTTTATGTTTATTTTGCTGAAAGTCTTGGTTCCAGAATAGAAATATCACCATCATTACTAACACTATGATTACTAAAAATAGTTTAAGATTTTTTTTTTTTTTTTGCCCTTTTGCTATGTTCCATTAGGGAATGTACAGTCAAATTGCTGTGTGATAAAGTTACTTAAAATAATTTCTTTCTTTGTAGTTAAAATGCCAACTCAATATTACACTTAGGTTCGTTCATTTCATTTTGCTTTTATTTTTAGAGATTGCACTTCTAATTTTCTTTAATAACTATATAAAACATTTATGTGGTTCCAAAGTTGAATACATAAAACAAGGTAAAATCAGAGAAATCTAGTTTCAATTCCTGTCTCTTCTACTCTTCTTATAGTCTGTTTATTTTATTATATATATATGTGTGTGTGTATATATAAATATATATATTTTTTTTGAGAGAGAGAAGGGGTGGGGGACATTCCTCTAATAATGTACAGAGTGTTATTTCCCCATAGCCATAAACTTTTAGATTTGCCAATCTAATAGATATGTAATGGTATCTCAGCATAGTTTTAATTTGCATATCCCTTATTATAAATGTGGTTGAGCATCTTTCCATTTGTTAAGAGCCATTTGAATATCTTTTTCTGTGGACATTTCATACTTCTTTTCCATTTTTCCATAGAGTTGTTGTTCAGTGTCTTCTCTACTTTCAGAATCTTTATATAGTAGGAATATTAATCTTTCTTCTTTCCTAGTTTATCATTTTTCTTTTTACGTGACTGATTTTTTCCTACACAAAAATGTTTTAATTTTATGTGGTCAGATTGATCAATTTTCTTCTTATTGTGATATTTATAACCTAACGTTTTATTTTATTTATTTATTTAAAGATTTCATTTATTTATTTGACAGAGACACAGCGAGAGAGGGAACACAAGCGGGGGAGTGGGAGAGGGAGAAGCAGGTTTCCCGCCGAGCAGGGAGCCCGATGCGGGGCTCGATCCCAGGACCCCGGGATCATGACCTGAGCCAAGGGCAGTTGCTTAATGACTGAGCCACCCAGGCGCCCTATAACCTAACATTTTAAAAGACTCCTGTTGGCTGCTATGTTGGGAGGAGACTGGCGGGAATAGGCCAAGGGGGCAAGAGCCAAAACAAGAAGATCAGTTTGAAGGTGGTGGTAATAATCCAGCATTGGTAGCTGTGAAAGTGGTTCTGGTTCTATTCTGAAATTTTTGTTGATGGACAGGATGTTGGATGTGAGAGAAAGAGAAGAGTAGAGATGACTCCTAAGTTTCTGGCCTAACATGATTCAGTTGCCATTAACTAAGAGGGAGAGGCCTGTGGGAGGGGCAGATTTGGGGGAAGATAGAGTTTGGTTATGGACATGTAAACTTTGAGATACCTATTGGACATCCAAGTGGAGACATCAAATAGAAAGTTGAATGTGTGAGTCTGTAATTTCAGGGAGTGTTTAGGTCTACAAATAATTATTTGGGAGCTATCAGCATGTAGAGGATATTTATTTAGGTTTTCCCTTTTTATTTATTTATTTTTATTGAGGTATGCTTCTGTATTCTGAAATGTACAGATATTAAGTTCAATACTTGTGACAAACATATACACCTATGTAATCCCAATCAAGTATAGAGCATTTGTGTACTCCAGAAAGTTCCCTTGTGCCTCTTTCTAGTCAGGCTACTGCCCAGAGGCAGCTATTATTCTGATTTATATTACCACAACTTAGTTTCTCCTCAAGTTGATAATATTTAGGACAGAAGGCTGGATGAAATCACCAAGGGTGTGAATGTAGATAGAGAAAAGAAAAGGTCCAAATACTATGACTTGGGGAATGCCAAAGATTTGAGGGGAAAATGAGGAAATTGGCAAGGAAACTAAGGAAGAGTAACCTGAAAGATAGCATGAACACCAGATGGAATGGAGTCCTGGAAACCAAGTGAAAAAGCTATTTTAAAAAGGAGTGAGGGCGCCTGGGTGGCTCAGTTGTTAAGCAGGCGTTAAGCCTTCGTCTCAGGTCATGATCCCAGGGTCCTGGGATTGAGTCCCACATCAGGCTCCCCGCTCAGCGGGGAGTCTGCTTCTCCCTCTCCCTCTGCCTGCCACTCTGCCTACTTGTGCTCTATCTCTCTGTCAAAGAAATAAAATCTTAAAAAAAAAAAAAAGTGATCAACTGTTTCAAATGCTGTCACAAGCTCTTGAAAGATGAGGATTCAAAATTTACCAATAGATTTAGCAACAAGGGGATCATTGGTGACCTCAAAAACTGCTTTCGTGGAGTGGTGGGGCCTGAGGTCCTGATTGGAGTGGGTTTGAGGGAATGGGAGGAGAGGAACTGGACAGCAAGAACATAGACATTTTGAGTAGCAGAAAAATGGTGTAGTAACTGGAAGGGAGTATAGGATCGAAAGAGGGTTTATTTTTTATTATTATTTATTTATTTATAAAGATTTATTTATTTGAGAGAGAGTGCCTACACGCAAGCAGGGGAGGGGCAAAGGGAGAGGGAGAGAATCCTCAAACAGACCCCCGCCAGCCACAGAGCCCGACGTGGGACTCGATCCCAGGACCCTGAGATCATGACCTGAGCCCAAATTGAGTCAGATGCTCAACCGACTGAGCCACCCAGGCAGCCCCCCCCCCCGTTTTTTTTTTTTGTTTTTTTTTTTAATGAGCAGTATTTCAGTATCTTTGTGTGCTCATGCAACTAATCCAGTAAGAGGGAAAGCTGAAAATGGGAGAGAATTGCTTGAGTGGTGCCCTTGAGTCAGCAAGAAGTCAGCCCCTGGGGGTACCTGGGGGCGCCTGGGTGGCTCAGTCGTTAAGTGTCTGCCTTCGGCTCGGGTCATGATCCCAGGGTTCTGGGATCGAGCCCCACATCGGGCTCCCCGCTCAGCGGGAAGCCAGTTTTTCCCTCTCCCACTCTCCCTGCTTGTGTTGCTGTTCTCGTTATCTCTCTCTCTGTCAAATAGATAAATAAAATCTTAAAAAAAAAAAAAAAAGTCAGCCCCTGAATGCACAAAGGAGGTGCTGGTCTGAGGTAGGGGCCTAGGCAGTTCGTCCATGGTAGTAGGAAGGAAGGCGGGTAGAGGTGTAGGTGAGAACATGCAAAAGGTCTCTTTTGGTTGTTTCTACTTTTCTGTGACACAGGAGGAAGGAAGAAAGGGAGGGAGGGGAAGGGAGGGAAATGAAGGGGAGGGGACAGAGGAAAGAAATGTCAGAGGTTGAGGAAAGAGGTCTAAGTTTGAATTAGTGTGAGAATGGAATTGTTAATATATCATCGCTTCACCCCCAACCTTACTGATAACAGTTGTGTAACTTTGATAAGTTATTTGTTTGCTACACCTCAGTTTGTTCATAGAGTAGTAACCCATCTCTTAAGACCATTGTGAGGACAAGTCAAGGAAACACCTCGCATTGTTCCCGACCCATAGTAGGTATTTAATAAAAGGTTATTCCTTTCCAATTTTAGTATATGTGCTGCCGAAGCGAGCACAAAGGTTATTACTTTCCAAAGTGTAGCAATAAAACTGTTAATAGATTATGTGCAGAATAATGCTTGTAATCTAAAATACCATGTAATCTAAAACTTTTTCAAATGTGCATTTAACATCTGTTGAACTTACATATTCAGATTGTGGAATTGGATAGTCAGGTGCCACATTTTAAAAAAGAATTAGATCCTTTTCTCCTGGTTTGCCACTTACATTTATAGGGACTCATTGAATAAATTTGTCCCACTAGTTTGTTGAAAAGATGGTTTTAGTTACATTTTTTTAAAAGTTCTAAGTCACTATTTCAGAGTTCTGTTTGATCTAAGTTCAGTCTGGCTGTGCTCAAAAATGGAATGGGGTTGAACCTATTCGTTGCAGATTTTAAGATCTAGGATTGATTGATTTTAAAATTTAAGTATGGAAATTTTCTAGTATTTGCAAAAATGAAAAGTGTAATAAATCTCCATGTACTTATCTAGCTACCACCTTAAATGATATTCAGATTAATATGGACACTTAAATGATCTTTGAGAAGATATGGAACTAACTTGTCTTGATTCACTAATGAGTAAGAGCTAAAGATTCTGATTTAATAATAATTTAATTTGAATTCCTTCAATCATTATTTTATTCATTGATTCATGCAACAAAATTTATTGAGGGTCAGCTTTGTTCATTAGTGCCTATGGCTAAGAGCCTTGCCTGATTGCAAATATCAGCTCTGCTACTTACTAGCTGTGTTGCCTAAGGCTGATCAGAGTATTCTAAGCTTCAGTTTCCACATTGGCAAAATTAAGATAATGCTAGTATCTACCTCATAGGCTGGTTAGGAGGAGTAATTGAGATACATCAGCTTGCTCAGTAAGTGTTAGCTGCTGTTATTATAAGTATCATATCTCCTTTTCCTCCTCATCGTCTTCCAGAGTTTGTGCTAGGTGTCATTGGAGAGTATGAGAGGATTAAGACATAGACCTTTACCTTGAACTAAAATTCCAAAATCCCACAGTATTAGAGCCAGGGGAGATTTTTAAGATTATCTAGTTCGGCAAGCCCAGAGAGCTTTAGTGAATTGTCCAGTATCACAACATCTCTTGGTGGCAGAGCCAGGCCAAAGCTCAGGTCCTTTAGCTGTGAATGCTCTTGTTACAGAATGGCTGCTCTGTTGGTTTGACTCTGCCCCACTCCTTAAACCCCAGTCCTTCTAAAGTGACAGTCCTGACCTGTTTTTCAGGACTCTCTACCTTTTCAGTGTGCAAAATCAAAGTATATGTGAGGCTTTTTGCACATATCAGACCTGAATATGCCCTGGACACTTTCCGTAAGGTTCCAAGGAAGACTTGCTAGGGGAGGTAGACAGGCGGTCTCTCTGTGTAATTACAAAGATGTTTTTATCTTCCTCTTGTATCACAGCCCAGGAGTTAAAGTCACTGTTTGAAAAAAAGTCCCTGAAAGAGAAACCTCCAAGTTCTGGAAGGCAGTCAATATTATCTGTACGACTAGAGCAGTGCCCTCTGCAGCTGAATAACCCGTTTAACGAGTATTCCAAGTTTGATGGCAAGGTAAGTAAAAATAAAACTTTGTCTTTTTAAATAAAATCTCAGTTGAGTGGAATTGTTTTTGTTAGTGTTATTATATTAGATTTAAGGTTTCAAAAACAACTCAAAGTAATTATAGAATGTCGTTCACACTTCTATGACCAAGGATGTAAAAAGGTCTGAATTTGGGCTTAATACTGTTCCCACAGCAGTATGTTTGGGGGATTAAAATAAAAACAGTCCTGAGATATTTGGACGTGTATTTTTCCCCCTGTTTCATCTTCCAAGTATACTTGAGGATTTGGGTTGGTTGGGTTGTGGTTAATCAAGGCCTGATTGTGTTGGGAAAGCTTTGAAAGTGGTTCCGGGGAGGCAGTTTGCCTTGTTTTGGTCTGGTTCTTTATTATAACTGTAGAAATTGTTGAGGTTAGAGCTTCATTTCAGAATTCTAGGCCGTTGTTTTTATGTCAGTATTTCATTGTAGGGAATCTTGTTTGACGCTCGTTATGCAGGATGACTTAATTTTTTTGTTCTAATAATTTGCAGTTTAAAAATTAAAATGTGTCTATTTTCCTTTTAGAAAAATGGCCACTATTCTAGACGGAGTCTAGTTCTACTTGCAGTACCCTCTCTCCCCACATTCCCTGCCTTCTGTGTCTCTGCGTGGAGCTGAGCTGGGCTTCTTTCAGGAGACAGTAGCAGTTGATTTTTATATTTATTGCCATTATATCTGCTGTCTGGCAGTGGCTTGGGGGTGCTGAGTGATAGCTTGTTGCCTGGAGGGGTTGCATACAATTTGTCTTATTTTAACACCACTGCAATTAATAAGCATACAGGCTCTTTGCTTATGTTTGCATTTTTTTATATTCAACTTCTGGTTATGTGCTGGCTCTGTCAGTTGTCATCTTTGAGCAAGGAGATGTTTTCTCTTCGAAACACTTTTACCTCATGAGGTTCAGCATGTTTCCATATGTTTAAGGAAGCTTATATGGCCATGGGCAAGTGAGGTTATTGATGTTGGTGGGAAAGGAAAGCCAAGAACTAGAAACAAAATGTGTAAGTTACATAAAGATAGTAATATGCTCAGGAGTTGCCCCCCCAAAAATCTGAAAGGACTTTTAGTAAATGAGAGATTGTATTGTAAAGCTTCTCTTTAGCCTGCCCCTACCAGGACTCCTGTTTCTTCTCGTGGAATGTAGCAAAGAGAAGGAAGGGCCCCTAGGGGACAATAATGTCAAGTCTCTGGAAAATGGAGAGTTGGACTGTAGGATTTGTTTTTTAAATACTACAGTTGATTCATTTAGATATGTTTGTGAGCATTATTATTGGAATTAGTTTACATGGCTGGAATTTATTTGCTTCTGTTGTCTGATACCATCTCATTGTTTGAGGACATAATTGCTGGAATAATTACCATGTAAAAATACTTTGATGCCAACAAAATAGCACAGGTCTTTTAAAATATTATGTCCTAGAATTCTTATTACACCATTAGATTTTATTTTATAAATTGCTTAGCTTTGGATTTGACAGAAAGTTATAAAGTGTCCTTGGTATGTATCTAACTTTTGAAGTGCCAAGGAGAAATTTAAAAAAAAAATGTGAAGAAGCCATTTCCTCGGTCACAAAGGAATTATTTTTACTAGATGTGTTTATACTTAAGGCTCTCCATGCTTTTGTCATATCAAATCTATTTGTAATCAGCAAAGGATATGTGCATGGAGCAGTCACCATTACACTTGGATTAAGAAAGATTTATATATCGATAAGTCTATCCCATGATGCGATGCTGTTTTATTATTATCCTCCATATTACAAATGCTAAAATACAATTAAACTCTTGTTCTCATCTATTATTTAATATTGATGCGTTTGGCAGATATGTAATGAAAGTGGCTAATATTTGAAGGATATTGTACTGTACATATTAAATTAGTCTTTATCTTTGTGAAATGCATCAATATGATATTCAATGACATCTCAATGATTAGTAGAGAATTATACTTGAGTCAAGCCTTTTTGTAACCTAGAAATTAAAATGACTATTCAAATAACACCTCAAAATGATCAAATTAGCATTTTGTGATTGCATAATAATGGGATTGTAGTAGTTATAACAGCATCGTGGCTGCCTCTAGAGTTAAGATCATGTCAACCCCTTGATAATAAAGCCTTTTCTGTGAGAGTCGACTTTAATAATTTCCAGATTGATTCTTCCCTTAAATCATTTGACGTTCAGCACTAAATTTTTGTTACTGTTGTAACTTAAAATTATTTTATTTTTATTCAGCTCATATTTAAGAAGTGAAATGAGCGACCTATTTTAATGATTCACCATCTTGTCATTGAACTCCATGCTTTTTGCCTCAAGTACAAGGGTTTTTCATGGACTTTGATAGTCCCTTTTTTTTTTCCTGCAAAGGTTTGTTAAAGCCACAAAAATATGTATAGAGTTTTCCCGTACAAATATTCACAATGCTTTTCTTGGGAATAACGCTTGCCTTATTTACATAATTAACTGAGTTGCTTAGGTCTCTTGGGCAAATGATACATAATTGGAGAGAGAAGGGGACAGGGAAGAGTTTGGGGTCTAATTAAATATGCTAAAAAACTACTTAATTATGTATTTCCTCAAGAGACTGCTGTGAAATCCTCAAGATTAAACGTTAGATTTGAAAAAAGGTTTTTGTTTTTGGTATGGCTTTACAATTACATTGTAGGTAAGCCAGCATATCTAGTGTCTTTAATGGTTTGTGCAAACTGGATTGTTGTTGGTTTTAGTGATTCTAAGGGTAAGCATCTTTTAGCTATTGTGCTAAATTAAAGCAAATACTTTCAAATAATTTGTGGTTCCTGTAGCAGGTTAATAATTTCATTTTTAAAAATAGTGGTTGATTAGTAATTTCTTAGAGGCATACAGTTGAGAGGGAAAGGCTGTGCTTAGGCATGTGCTTTGTTGTAATTTTAACAATTTTTTGGATTTGGTTTATTATTATGTTTATATTATCTCTTTGGTAAATTGGCGATGCTATCTCTGACCTGTTTTAGATTCATTGATTATTACTAACTCTGTTTACTGATCATTTGAAAGAAGTCCCAAATAGATTGCAAGTGGTTTTAGGGAATGTTTGGTCGCACAAGGCAAAACCAGGCTCAGCCATCTGCCCGCATTTTTTGGGCGTGTTGAAAACAGGACCTCAAATAGCCTAATTAACAAAATCTCTGTTCTAGAGATTGAGATAATCAGAAAACTTGTGACAGTCCTTCTGATTTCACTGTATATGGGAATTGTTGGGTGTGACAAGGAGTTGCTTTGAGGTGATGAAGGAGTGGGCTCTACTGGTAAGTGAACACTCATTCAGCACTTAAATTTAAGTATCCCCGAATGTGTGGATTTCTGCCCAGTCTTTCTACCTGTTTCAAGTGAGGTCGTGTTTTTGCAAGTATCTAACCCTTTCCATTCCATGCCTTATCACTTAACTTGAGAAACTTGCTAGTACATCACCACTCTTCTGGTTAAACTGAGTTTGCAAATATTATCATCATTAGTAGACCGTTTGAATTTTCTTTTCTTTATTTATTTCAAAAAAGATTTATTTACTTGAGAGAGAGCAGGTGAGAGAGAGAGCACGAGTGTGGGAGCAAAGGGAGAGGGAGAAGCAGACTCCCTGCTGAGCAGGGAGCCCAACTCGGGGCTCAATCCCAGGACCCTGGGATCATGACCTGAGCCGAAGGCAGACACTTAACCAACTGGGACACCCAGGCGCCCCTTATTTTATTTTTTTAAGTAGGCTCCACGCCCAGCTTAGAGCCTGGTGCAGGGCTTGAACTCACAACCCTGAGATCAAGACCTGAGCTGAGATCAAGAGTCAGCAGCTTAACTGACTGAGCCATCCAGGCACCCCCATTAGAATTTTAAATACCCATTTCCTGTCAGTAGAGTTACTAACAAAGAAATGATATTGATTATCCATTGTGACATCTTGGTCAGGTTTTCCATCTCTCCAAACCTCAGTTTCTTTACCTGTTAAAGAAATGAGAGTTCCTTCCTCACAAGGCTGATAAGACCATCAGATAGGATAATAGTAGGATAGAGTACCTAGCACAATGGGAAGCAGTGTAATTTACTTTGTGACCTATTTTGTATTAAGACCTGAGTTTGAATCCTGGCTCTACCACATAACAGTGTGACCTCAGGCTAGTTACTTACCCTCATGAAGCTCCAGTCCTCATATGTGGGTTGAGATGATGATGTCTGTTTACCAAGACATGTAGCACATCGTAGGAAGCACTCAACAAATATCCCACTTCTGCCCCTCTCTGTAAAGGATGGGGACCAGTGACGTCCCTTCTATGTTCTTCATTAGATTATTGACAGGATTGAGTGAGAGGAAGTGTGTTCTTGAAACAAGTTTAGAATAGCATCGTTAAACAAGATGTGCAGCAGACTGGGTGAAGGTCTCTGAAGTCCAGCGAGTTCAGTGAGGTTTTGGCCTTTAACTTTAAATAGGAAGATTGAGTCAAGTAATTACTCTTTTTTTTTTTTTTAAACATCATAGGAGAAGGTAGTTCGGTATTAGTCATTGTTTGGCAGTTTACTAAAATGTTAAATATTTATTTGACTCAGCTAAATTCTACTCTAAATATAAGGAGAATGTTTGCCTTAACAAGTGCTTAAAAAAGCAGAACCTGTTCTTGTTCATATAGACAACTGTGACTTTGATTGTGTTAACTTATTAGAAAGTAACCATTTCTCTGTTAGAAACTGTTTTAACCAAAGCTGCAGAGAGCATGGGGGAAGGGATAATTCATGAGTGCTAATTGCTTGGCTGTTAATTTTCATAAGTGTTGATAGAAGCAGTTCCTTAAATTAAACTTTGTTTAAAATGTATCAGGGGAAATATTCCACAATGTCGAGCCTGAAGTGAAAATTAATATGAATGCTGTGGCAATTAACACATACTGGTTAATAGCTTTTAGCAGCATTTTGGGATGATAGTCCTTAAATACATTTTTGCATGCTG